ACATGGACTCAAAAAAGCCTTGAGTAGCAAAGGAGCTTGGAGAGGTTGGCAGGGCCTGGGAATGAAGAAACTTGTAAGCGTTTTTCAGGAATTCATACAGCACTCTGAGGTCAAAGGGAAACCCAAGGGGTTTCCTGGCTAGTGAGCAACGTGAGAAGGGTCTTAGGAAGGCAATACGGGTTACTGTGAGCTCAAATCAGTCCTTCGTAAACTGTGAAGTGATGTACCATTTACTGCTCTATCCTCAGCCTAGCACAGGGCTAAGCACATATTGAGGGGCTCAGTAAATATTTGCTGACTGAATGAGCACAGGTGTGTGTAATAATAATAGAATGGATCTCTCCAGGGCGACTCCACGCATTTCCTGGACAATTTAACTGAAGGTGAAATCCCGGGAACCAAAGCTTCCCCGGCGCTGTCCTACGTTGTGAGAGAAACCTGCTGAGTCCCGAGATGATGCTGGGGGCTGCAGACGGGAATGAGGGGGGCAGTGACGGTAGCCCATGAGGGTGTGGCCACACCTGATCGCAGGGTAGGGCCCCTCCCTCAGCGCCCCGCTGTATCTTTGGAGTAGAGGCAATGCGGGCGGGATGGTTAAATCGCTTCGTTCCTCCTTCCACTTTCAACCCACTGGCTTGTCCTGTTGACTCTGTCTCCAAAACTTGCCTTCCACCCCCTTTCTTTCTCCATCGCCTCCTCTCCCACCCTGCTCCGGCTCCTGCTCCGCCTTGGCCACAGCAGCAGTCTCAGAAACCAGGCCCCTGCCTCTGCCCTGCCTCTCTCTACCGCCTACCCGCCACAGGGCGGCCAGAGGGGTCTTTTAAAAACACTGCCCTGGCATGGAGTGTAGCTTCCTTTCCATGTACTCAGAGAGCTATGCTTCTTAATCTTTAACATACACTCACGTCATAAGGGGGTCTTGCTAAAATCCAAGATGCAGTTGATCTGGGATGAGGTGCGAGACGCTGCATTTCTAACAAGCTCGCAGGCAATGCAGTGATCTTGGATTTAGGGAAAAAATGCCAACCTCCTGCCCATGTCCTATTTTATCTGGCCCTTGCCCAGCAGTCCCACGTCATCTCCAAGCGCTGTTCTCTCTCATCACGTTGTAGCCACACTGGCTTTCACTGGGTTCCTGGAGCGTGCCAAGTTGTCCCTGCCTCAGGGCCCTTGCACGTGGTGTTCCTGTGGCCTCAAACGCCCCTTTCTGCAAGCTGCACACGGCTTGCTCCTTCTCTTTATTTAGATCTTAGTTCCATGATCAGTCAGAGAGTCCTTCTCTGACCACTTCATCTAATGAAGCACCTTATTCTCCCGGGGACTTGCTATTACTATTTGCTTTTCCCCCTCTGTAGCTTTTACCACTCTCTGAATTTGTTTTTGTACTGTTTTGTTTTTTTTTTGACTTCTTAACTTTCTGTGTCCGCTCTCGTGTTTGTTCCTTGTGAATAAGGACTTGGTCTCCTCCACTCTGGGCCTGTCCCAGGGCCTGGCACATGGTAGGTGCTCTTTTCATGTTTGTGAAGCATGAAACGTGAACACAAACATGCTTGCATGGCTACCGTGGCGTTAAGATCCATGCAGGGGAGTCCACACTAGGAAAACGTAGAGTGACAATACCACAGCTGTCTGAGGCCGAGGGGAGGAAGGTGGAAAGGAGCACACTTTCTGTTCTGAGGGGGCCACGGAAAGCCTCCAGAACCTGGAGCTGAAATTGAACCTGAGAGTCAGCACATGACAGATGAATTCCTTTACCTAGAAGAGACAAATGCTGGAAGGAGTGGGGGTGTGGGAGGAGGAAAGTAACATTAGTTAAATGAGTTAAGTAAGGTATTTGGAACAGTGCCTGGCACATGGTAGATATTTATCAAATAAATGAAAAGAAATATGTCAAACTCTCATTTTGTGACCATCACTTTGCAAAGTCACCTTCGTTCTTCCTCAAACATATAATCTCCATCTTGCAAACGAGGAGAGGGCACTAGAAGATGAGAGGACTTGCCCAAGGTCAAACAGGGACAGAGCTGAGAACCCCACTCCCTCAAACAGCTCTGTGGAGGGTTGCAAACGCTGCACTTCCTGACCCCCTTCCTCACTTTATGCTTTGCCATAGCACCTGTTACCACCCAATATCCTGTGCATTCTACTTAATTGTTTATTGTGTATCTTTTCTTAGGAGAATATAAATTCCTGGTTTTGTTCACTACAGTTTTCTCTGAGCCCAGGACACAGAGGTCTGCTGCATACCTAGACACTTAATGAATATTTATTGAATGTTAAAAGGATGAATGAAGGGCTTAAGAATCTTGGCTTTCTGTGTCTCTAAGAGGCAGTTCTGTAAATGCGTGGCTGACAGGACACCCCAACACAGTCGGGAGGGCCTTAGTGCATCTGAGGTGGACCGGGAAGGAAACTGTGGCTTACTGACTTCTTCTAGCAACTCAGAAGTGAGGCTGTGTCTGCAGAAGAGGCTGCATGGAGCCTGGCAGGAGAGCAGCCAGGGAGCTGAGGTTTGTCCAGTCTCCAGCCCTGACGCCATCGCCATGGTGGCATCGTAGGTGTGGGTGCCACCGGCTGGCATATCGTCTCAGGACATGGCTTCCCACATCAAGTGGCCCTGGGGGAAAATGTGTTGACTAGACCCCTATGGCAATTACAAGCTTGATGTAAATGCATAAATAGGCACTTAAGCAGGAAATCTCTTGTGAATTGAGTTAGAGTGAGTCAGTCGCTCAAGCCTGGCAGCTCTGGCTACTGAGCAAATGAAGGTTCTATACCAGCCAGGCTGCACTGTGGACCTACTTACCAGGCCTTCCCCTGTGCCAATGCTTCATAAAGTTCAGCCTCTAGATCTGCAGCGTCAGCATCACTTGAGAACTTGTTGGCATACAAATTCTCCAGCCTTGTCCTCAGTTTACTGAAGGGAGACTCTGTGGGCGGGGTCTGCAGTGTGCAGTAAGGAGCCTTCCAGGGGACTTCAATCCACTGTCAAGCCTGAGAACCATGGTCAAGCCGTTTCTCTTTCAGGGCAGTTATTACTGTGCTGCGTGGGGGTGGGGGTGGGGTTAAGGGAACAGTCAGGGTTGGGGGGGCTTAATGGGTACAGCACAGAGGGTCCTGTGACAAATTAATTGGTGATTGGGTCAGTGATTCTTAGTGGGGAGGGTCAGGAGTTAGGGAGGAAGGCCCTGGTGTTTCAGAAAATCTCAAGGGGAGGGATTTGCTTGCAAAAGCACATTTTAAAGTTACCATGATTTTGTCTTTCAGACCTAATATTTATTTTAACATTTCAAATGACATTAAAGTAAAGTATAATAGAAACTGCCAGCCAGTATTGACTAGATGTACAGTTTAGGAGGAAATTTAAGGCTGGGACCCTACGTCCTGTCAAATTATCATTCTCAAAAAAAAAAAAAAAAAAAAGGTGAAGAGAGAGGGAAACTGTTAAGTTGGCCCAGGAGAAACAGAAACTTGGCATGCCTGGGGAACTTGTGAAATGGGCTGTACTACTTTATGGAGCTCCTACTGTGTGCCAGGGACTGTATCTGGCTCCCTGAAGAGGATACAAAGACAATTTAGCCAGCCATTTAGGCAGCCAAGGAGCTTACAAAAGAAAATAATTCAGAGGAGAGATACTTCCTTTTGTTGGCAAATGTCGGAAGTATGGATGTGTGGGAGCTTTGATCAGCGCCTTGGCTTTTCGGTTTAGCCAGATAAATAGAGCACATGGTAGGAGGTGGGACGAGTGCGGGTAGGGACGGGAAGGGGTTTGAATGCTGGAGGCAGGAAAGGCTACCAGTCCAGGAGCAGTACTGCGCCCATGCCTGCTGCTGGGTCCCGGGCGTGTTTGGGTGATCTAAGGTTGGATAGTAACAATTGCTAACATTCAGTGACTACGTGTATGTACAACACCTAGATTTTTTAAAAAAGATATTTAAAAAAAGATTTTATTTATTTTTAGAGAGAGGGGAAGGGAGAGAGGGCCAGAAACATCCATTGGTTGCCTCTCCCACGTGCCCCAATGGGGACCAGCCTGGCAACCCAGGCATGTGCCCTGACTGGGACTACAACCAGAGACCGTTCGCTTTGTGGGACAATGCTCAACCAATGAAACCACACCGGTCAGTGCTGAACTCGTTCTTCATGTGATCTCTATGAGATAGGTACTGTTATCGCCCCAGTTGTACTACTGATGAGGAAACTCAGACACTCGGAGATGAGCTAACTTTGCCCATAGTCACACAGTTAGGCTGCACTAGAGATTGAATTTGAAACCAGGCGTTGGCTTTAGAGTGCTCCAAAGCGCAGGACAAATCAGTGTGCCACCCCAAACGTCTGGGCTGTCCGGCTGGTTTGGGTGGTACGGGGACGGGACACTTATTTTGGTGGGTGAAAAGTGTCCAGAAGAAAGCCCTTCCGTCTTTCTCCATGCCTGAGCAATTATTTCCTTTGGCATAGACAATCGGGAGTCCAGTGCTTTGCGAACCTGCTACAGCACAAGCACTTTAGGCCCCTTCCCACTAGATGGCGGCCCCTAAAACCCACATAAAAATTCTGTAACCTCCACTGTCCCCATATTCCAGGGTTTGGATGCGGCTGAGGAATGGCAGGATGCAAACCCTCCTCCGTTTCTAAGGGGACCCGACCCTTGTCCCGCCCCATCCGGGGGTCGGGGGAAGCCCCTAGGCTGGAGGCGGGCATGGGGGGGACGGGGATGGGCGGGGAGACGAGGCTCCCAGGCTCTGGGCGCCGGGGGGAGGAGTCGGCACGGAGCAGCCACTCCCGGGGCGCAGAGGCGGTCGCTCCCGCAACGCCTGCGTCCACCGCAGAGGGGAAGGCCGGGACCGCCGGTCGCTAGGCGTTGGGCGCGGACGCGGGCTCCGAAGGCGCGAGCCGGGAGGCAGGTGCACGGCTCGGACTACAAGTCCCAGCATGCCCAGCTGCCCTGACCCGGCCCCTGCTGCCACTTAAAGGCTCCGGGAGCCGCAGCCGTCGGGTCGCCGCGGCTTTCGCTTTGCTGCGGCGGCGGGGCGGGCGGGAGCTGTGGGCTTGGTTGCCGGCTCCACTCGCGTCACGTCTCCGGCAGCTCCGAAGGGCGCTCCTCGTGCGGCCCTCCCGGCTCGGGAATTCCCTGCCGAGCCCGCGCCCCAGGGCTCCCCGCCTCGGCCACCCCGCGGCCCCGATGCCGAGGCATGGATAGAGCGGCACGGCGTGCGGCGGCGATGGGAGAGAAGGAAGGCAGCGGCGGGGGGGTCGCGGCGGCCGCAGAGGGGTGCGCCGGAGCCGCGGCAAACCGGGCGCTGCAGCAGTGCGGGCAGCTCCAGAAGCTCATCGATATCTCCATCGGCAGCCTGCGCGGGCTGCGCACGAAGTGCGCGGTGTCCAACGACCTCACCCAGCAGGAGATCCGGACCCTGGAGGTAAGGCGGCCGCGGCTCGGAGGGTCAGGGACCCGGGCTGGGCCCGAGGATGCGGGGTTAGGCGGCCCGGGGACCTGCCGCTAATACTCCCCTCCAAGCTTCTGTCCACACGTCTCTTTGCATCCTTAAGCCCGGGTCGCCCTTATTGAAGCTTCCTCTCCTTCCTTGGTTCGATGATGCGGCAGGTTGAGGACTCAGGACCAGCCCCTCACCTTGGGCGGGCATTGGGGGGAGGGGTGGAGTGGGAACTGGGATGCAGGCTCCGGGAGCGGTGGGCGGGGTGGGCAGCGCGCGGACAGCCGCTGCCTCCTCACCTCCGCCCCCAGCCCTATTTCCAGCTTGCTTGGCCGCAGGACTCATGCTCCCACTGAGTCACACGCTGGACTTTTCACGGTGTGACTGAGCCGAGCAGCCGTGGGCTGGGGTGACGGGGGCAGGGGGAGGTCCCCTTGAAGTGTGAACAGAGGCCCGTCGTTCTCTGCTTTCGCCTCACGCCCCAGACACTCTTGTCCCTTCCTTTCCTTTCCTCCAGGTTCTTGTGTGCAGCTTTTCAAAAAGTGTTTGCTGAAACTGCATTTTTGCTCTTCAGGCATTTGGTGCTTTCCTTTCGCACTGCCACAGCGTTTCACTGCTCAAAATGTAATAATTACCCATCGACTCCCTTCAAATACTGGATGTTGGTTTAGGAAGGATTATGCTGGGGACTGGCCTTTGGTGCGAAGATAACACTATTTAAGGGCTTCTGGGGGAGACAGCCTCCAGTGTAAAGAAGAAATAAGATACGCCTGCCCTCCTCTCTCAAATTATAGTGGGACATGCAGTATTAAAAGAATTTGGAAGAAGCAGCCAAAAGTGTTGGGTTCTCAGCAGTCTGGGGAGCCCTCCCACCCCCCTACACAATAGAGGGAAACCAGTGTATTCCCAACTTGCTTTTGTCCAGAGGCTGAGAAGGCTGTGGAATTCAGAGACCAGTTAGTAAAAGCTAACTCGACTTGAAGAAGGGGCTCCACCTTGCACTGCCGCATCTGGCCTTCTGCAGATCTGGAGATGTTTTGTTTTGTTAGAATCTTAATTTCTCACCCAACCCCCCTGCCTCCCTTTATTGCTCATTGCCTCTGCCAACTGTCATAGGGCCAGCGGTGATTTGTTGTAATTATTACAAGACCCAATCCTCAGCACATCACAAACCTGAATCCCTGTTTGATCCAAAATGCTTAGGGGTGACTTCTCTCCTTCAGTTTTATTGTCTTAAAAGCTATAAAACCAGGAACATTAGAAGCATCTAATCAGTGCTGGCTATTATTATTTTTGTTACAGTTGCTATAGCAGTACTGACCAGGACTTTGCTTAAAAAACAAACCAACCAACAAAACTCCACACGACTGCTCCTTCTGCAGAAGTGCTGCTGTTTCCCAAGTGGGGAGAGATACTGGTTTCTTGAACACAGACAGCCAAGTGTGTTTTTGCCCAGCAAAGTTCAGTTTTTAAAGCGACACAATAGGGGGCCTATGTGGCTTAGTTCTGGGAGGGGAGAGTCCTTGTCCAGCAGCATGTGTATGATTGAACTGCTGTGTTGTTGGGATGAGAGAACGTTCCTTGTGTCGGCTTCTCTCGGATTGTCCCCTTGTTGCTCTGAAGTGCTCTTGGTTCACAGAATGGGTACAGGACAACCATTTGCTGTTTGTTCTCTGGGTGGAAATGGTGGTACCCTGACTTCCAGAGTGACTCCTGTTAACCAAGGTGTGGCATCATGACACCACAAGGCATCCAGCTATTCGTGTCTCTGAGCTGGTTTATTGGATGATCCAACTAAGCATCCTGAAACCCATCCTAAAGCCTGAAACGGACTTGCTGGGTGAACTGGAGCCGGTACCCAGCTCCCTGTCCTCTCCATTGTCTTGTGGATTCAGGTCCACCCTGCTTTATGAAAAGGCAGACTTCACTTGTCTGGGAGGATGGGAATTTAGACGCCAGCAACTAATTTGCTTGAATCACTTCCCGCCAGAGACCTCAGCCTCCTCACCTGAACAGGGAGGCTGGAGTGGATCTCTGTGGACTTCTGTTGTTTAGTGAAGGGGTATCCAGCTGGGTTGAATCAATGTTTGTTAGACATGCTCCTGTTTAAGAATATCTCTGTTTAATAAACAAAGACCAAACTCATAGATACAACAGAATTGTGGTTACCAGAGAGGAGGGGTGGACAAAGAAGGTAAAGCAGGTCAAATACAAGTTGACACTCAGGTATTGAACACATTGTAGAGGATATAGATGTTGTATTATAAAGTAGTACACCTGAACTGTATGTTTTAAACAATAAATGTTACCCCAATAAATTTAATTTTTAAAAAGACTAACAAGAAAAACAAAACAAAACAAAAAAATTAGTTCCTGCTTAAGAATGGTTCCAAAGTCCAGATGCACTAAACTGATACAATAGGGAGGACGTTTATTGCTCTAAGAATCCTGATGATAGGGGCAGTGTAGTAACTGGAAAAGCCCGTGGCTTTGATTTCAGGTCCAGGTGCTGTCTCTGTGACCTTGGACAAATCCCAAGACTCCAGAATCTCAAGCGTTCCCATCTGTAAAACGGGAATGAGACTGCTTAAACTGGCAATGTTGTCAAAGTTCACATTCTTCCTACTAAGAGAGTCTTCTCATAAACTTTTCCTCGTGAGCGTCCAATGACATTCATACTACAGGTCATCCTTAGGGGAAGCTACTTCTCTATCTGGCTCTTACTTCACAAAGGTGGGTGACACAGACTAGGAAGCCGTCCCAGCAGCATGCGGTGAGGTCCCATGGGACAGTGGTGATATCCAGTTTGGTTTTCTTTTCTGGTCTGCAGTCTCCTCTCGCATTCCAGGGCAGGGCCTCCAGAGGCAGTGCTTGCAACATTGGATTCCTGGCTTTTGAAGGCGGGATTGACCAGAGGGCTTGGCTTATGCAACCACGCCAGGCTTCTCCCAGAACCTTTAGGAACCTCAGCTCACCGTGACCCTTATTAAATAAGCGCTCATTGGGGGAAACGGCAGGTCAGATTCCTCTGAAAGTCCCCAATGCCTCGCCCAGCTGCTGGAGCCTGAGACCGCAGGTTGTGAGGGTGTGCGGGCCAGCGTGTCTAGCTGCTTATGAAGGCTTCCTCCATGCTGTGGTCCGGTTTGGATCCAAAGGAGTGGAAAGAGCCAAGGTTTAATTTTTGCCTCCTACCTGCCAGCCAGTGTGCTGTACCCTTCTTAGTCTGATGAGATCCACCAATGTTGGTCACACACACCGTTCTTCTCTACATGGGAAGGGGAAGAAGATAAAATCTGAACCCCGAGTCTGAATCTGTAAACAAGTTGTGAGGCTGCTTCATCCCAGCGGAGCCTGGTGCCCCATCTCCATCAAAGCCTCTTAGGGGGTCCGAGAAGTCCACTGAGGCAGGATAGAATGTTCTCCTTCCCCAGATGTGCTCACACAGAGACCCCTGGCTGGCCTCACAACCAGGCCTGGGGCCCCGCATCAGTTCATTCCCTCGTGCAGCTGTCCCATTCGGGCCGAGTCTGCTGGGCACTGGAGAGAGAGTGGTACCTCACAAAGATTTGTGTTTTGTGGACACTGCAACTTGGCCCTTTCCTACCAGCCTACTAGTACTTTCCAGAGAGAGGCCTGTCACATAGCACCTTGTGCTCTTCTGGAGAAAAATCCCTCCAAGAAGGCTGACCTGGAGAAAGGGTCCCCAAAGGACCTTTCCCATTGGCCTTGCTGGGAAGGGGACATTGAGGAGCTGGCCACTTCCCTGAGGAGTTGCCTGGAGGCACCTGGGGGGGCCCAGCTACTCCTGGGAAGACCAGGGAGGTTTGACCTTCGCTCAGCCGCACTGTGGCTGAGGTCCAGGCCCTCTGGGAGGAGGATCTGAGCTCTTCCTGTGGCCCATTCCCCCTGCTCCCCAGATGAGCTGGGTGGTGGAACTGCTGGGACGGGAAAGGGGTGACACCGCTCCCCACAGGTCAGGTCACTGGGACAGGCTTGGAGGTGTAGTCACTCGACACACCTGTGATTACTGATTTGCCTGCTGAGCTCCTAGTGACAGCCACACTGGCAAGAATTCTGAGGTAGGTAGGATGCTCTCTAGGTCTTTGGGGACATGTTCAATCTAATGGGGGAGCAAGGTAGGCAAACGGTAGCAACTCCAGTACCCTGGCTTGCTAAGAGTGCTTAGGAATTAGAAATGCGATGGAATGGCTGGCCAGTCCGACCTCCTGTTTTTATGAGGAATACTCCCAGTCTTGGTGGTGACTTGCCCAAGTCACAGGTCCCTGGCAGAACTGAGAGTGAAACCTGGTTTTCCTTTCCCCACCCAGCCACTGCCTCCAGTATGGCCTTTCTCTTCCGCTCCATCACCATAGTTTCAACTGTGCACTGGAGGTTTTAACTCCTGCAGTCCCTGAAGGGGTGCCGAGCTGGGGTACCGTGGTGTCATGTAGGAGCCCTTGGTGTCAGCTCTTGCCTCGACAACGTTTTCCTTGATGAAACGTGCCACCAGCAACCTCGGAGGTGGCCGGGGGAGGGACTGGCAGTTTCCCTGAGACTGGGGAGGGCTGGATGGGGCTGGGGGGAGGTGTTATCAGATCTGCAGCCCAGGCCGGTGTGAGTGCCAGCGCCCAGGGACAGTGATGTGAATACCTCCTTCTCCTCTGGGTTGGCTCCCAATCCAGGAACGCTGTATTCCCCACCACAAGTATGCTGGCGCTGCCTGCTGACTGTGGTCGGGAGAAGGACGGCAGGGGCCCGGGCCTTGGGGGCAGTGTCTGCCATGGGGCGGGGTGGGGGGTAAGCAACAAAGTCTGTGGCCGAGTCTCTGTAAGCAGTGCTTTTTAACGAGGACATCCTTTCAGAAAAGGCTGGTGAGAATCTTTTCCTATGTTCAGTTCAGAGGGAAAGCTGCGCAGGTGCCTTTGGGATTATGGGGACCTCTTTTGCACATTGTGAAAGCGGATGAGGGACAAGAGACACACTCA